ACACTGCGCAAGGATGTGGAAGAAGAAAAGCTGTCACAAGCGTCCATGCCTTTGGCTGAAGTACGATCTCAGTTAACACCAAAGCCCCCAATTCAGTAAACATCGAAGTAGTTGTTTTACTCTTTTTTTGGCCTCCTGTTTTAGGAATCCTCCAGAAACCCAGGTAAGACGTACGTTTTCGCACACCCAAACACCACGGCAATCTAGGACCCGTGATCCGAGTAGGTTGCACGTAGGTTGTTTATGGGCATACCCTTACTTCGGTTCGGGCACTAGAAACCCTACTGACAAGTACCCATGAGCCTGCAAGTAAGGGCCCAGCTTGCAAGGCTAGTCTTTTAAGCCCTCAGAAAAAACTACTGTACTTTGGGTTTAAGGTTTTAGGGCTTGGAAATTATGTTTAACACCGAACAAGGGTCGTGAACAACATCTCCCTGTGCCACCCAGTTGTGGGGTTTAGGGTTTAGGGTTTAGGGTTTAGGGTTTAGGGTTTAGGGTAAAGGCCGGTGTTGGCAGGGGTGGGCCCTTCATCAGGGCCACCACAGGAAACCCCTAACCCCACTCCCGTTTAGGGTTTAGGGTTTAGGGTTTAGGGTTTAGGGTTTAGGGTTTAGGGTTTAGGGTTTAGGGTTTAGGGTTTAGGGTTTAGGGTTTACCCCCAACCCCTGAACCGCAGGAAAGGGGTCTCCAATTTCTTCCGAGTGTCGATGCAGCCGTTGGGCCGAGATGTCGCGCGGGTCCTTTACCTCCATGATCTGCATGATGACCTCAGCTGGTACTTGAAGGTTCATGGTACTTACTAACCAATTATAACTGGGCTTATAACCCCACTTACAATTGGGATAACCCCTATAAGGCCCTTTAGGGGTATTATAAGCAGGGTTAGAAGTACAGTGATAATTGGTTAGGAAGTACCATGAACCTTCAAGTAGGGTAGACTAAGGTTAGGGAAGTCGCGCAGACTTATACCATAATCAGGCCACGATGCTGACCTCCCCCCCCCCCCCGAACAAAAGGCTTTAGTCTGGATTTAGGGTTCTCCTGGCAAAGGGGCGAGCCTTCTAGGCGTGACAGCCGCCTCATTTTTGTTGTTCCGTTTGAGTTGTATAAGGGGATTGCAGTTGAATCCTCTTTTGGGGTTTGATATTGCGCGAGTGGGGGAGGCGTCATACATGACAACGATATACCTCAGTTGATGATGAGGGCCCTGCATGTTTCACTTAATCAAGGCGCAGTGGGCTCGCTGGGCACTTTTCTTTGCCCTAAACCCTAAACCCTAAACCCTAAACCCTAAACCCTAAACCCGCGACATGCACCACAGGGATGCTCACCGGCCTCATCTGCGTATGACGAGCTTTGTGGGTTGCAAACAGGCTGTACAACGGGGTTTAGGGTTTAGGGTTTAGGGTTTAGGGTTTAGGGTCTAGGGTTTCGGGTTTAGGGTTTGCGGTTTAGGGAGTCCTTAATTGGGATGATACTAGGGCGGTTGTTCTTTTTCCCTACTAAGGACTGTTCGTTGAAGGGGCAACATCCCAAGGCTGGCCCTTTGAACCATCCCGAAGAATTCTCCTACAGCATTAGGGTTCATCCCCAAGTATGTCAAGGGCCTACTGCAAACGAACCCAACAACTGCCCTGCATAACAAGTTCAGCCAGCAAGGCCAGTCACAGTTCTTAATTACAGAAATTGGTTCTTGGCAGCGGCCAGGAAAGCAGAAGGTAGTTCTCGCCTCCTCTTGCTGGGTGCCTGCCAAGGCACATAAACGAACTCGGACTGGCTGATCTCGTCACTTCCGTCCGTGTCAAATTCGTCGAACATGCGGCGGTAACCTTGGAGGCAAACCCTAAACCCTAAACCCTAAACCCTAAACCCTTTCGACAACCCTGCCGATCCCAGCATGCATTCAGGTCAGAAGTTGTCATACACAGTCTCAGAGGCTCTTCAGCCAGACACATCTTGGGGGGAACACCCCTAAACCCTAATTAAACCCTAAACCCTAAACCCTAAACCCCGTCTCCAGTGCAGGCTTAAACTGCAGGGGGTCTGAGCAAGCTGCGCTCAACCTCCGCAATGGAAACACCCAACTCGCGGGCCAGCTGCCTGGCGGTGGTATCGGCATGCACATGTTTTGAATATCAATCTAATATGTAGTATGTATATAGAGTATATAGTATAGAAATTCACACATATCGTAAGCCTAGACTTTGTGGTTTGGTCTTTCGTTTCGGGCCAGGCAGGCCCAAGTCCAACTTGCCGAGGCGTGTTTGTTGAAGGGTGCTTGTCTTTTCTGCCGGGACATGCACGTATACACAGGCCCATGCCCAGGTGCGCCGAGTACACGACACCCTCAACCCTCAACCCTCAAGCCCTAAGGCCCGTAAACCCTAAACCCTAAACCCTAAACCCTAAACCCTAAACCCTAAACCCTAAACCCCTAAACCCCTAAACCCCTAAACCCTGGGCCCTAAACCCTAACAGGAGGACTCCGAAGTCCCGAGGCTCTGCGAAGGGGTCTGCAGGTGGCACCGACATAGTTGGAGGACTGTGCTTATAACTGTAAGGGTTTAGGGCTTAGGGTTTAGGATTTAGGGTTTAGGTTCATGGTACTTATTAACCAATTTATAACTGTACTTAAAACTGTAAGGGTTTAGGGCTGAGGGTTTAGGATTTAGGGTTTGGGTTCATGCTGCTTATTCACCAATTTCTAACGTACTTATAACTGTACTTGCAACCATGTTAGGGCACTTAACTAGCTTATATGTGGGTTACAAGTACAGTTATTATAACTTTTAGGAAGTACCATGAACCTCCAAGTGCCCACCATTTTCTCCAACGTGGACGGCCACTCTTGCAACAACTTCCTGGTTCTTAGTAGGGAATGAGATATTTAAACACCTTCTATATATGTTTATACATATGTCTGATATATATATATATACTACATTCGGTACCTTTAAGGGGGCGTAAGGTACCAAATTTCCTCTCACCCTACGAAGGACCAGCAGGACAATCATTGCCGAAGGTTCATGATGGCTTGGCCACCGCCTTCCCTTTGGTAGCCCAGCGACCATACTCTAATAAGGGGCACCCTTTTTTGGGGTTGGCTATTTTATACCCTAAACCCTAAACCCTAAACCCTAAACCCTAAACCCTAAACCCTAAACCCCAAGGGAACCTACAAACCAAAAACAAAAAAAACATAAGGGTACCACTGGGCCACCGCCTTCCAGTTTCTTCCCTTAAGGCTTTCGACTGCCTTTAACATGACATCTTCTGAAGGCCCCTCCATCCTCGAAGCAACGAGTTTAGGGTTTTAGGGGTTTTAGGGGTTTAGGGTTTTAGGGGTTTAGGGGTTTAGGGGTTTAGGGTTTTAGGGTTTCAGGGGTTTAGGGGTTTAGGGTTTAGGGCTTAGGGGTTTAGGGGTTTAGGGTTTAGGGAATCAAGCAAACCTGATGCGTCAGGCTCCGCATCCACATTTGAGGGGGCCTTGATTCAGAGAACACGTCGCGGTGACGCAGTTATACTGCACAGCGCGGCAACCGATATGGACACAGCGACCCGCTTCGCGTAAGCACCCCTTCGGCAGTGCCCCCTAAACCCACCTTAAACCTCACGCACTGAAAGGATCTTCGCCCCAAATGCTGCATTCACTGCGCCGGCGCGGTCTCAACTGGGCCCGGTTTTGGACGTCGAGGTGCCAGGGTCCTTGGTTCACGGGTCCAGTGTGGCTTTTTGGTTTTAGGGTTTAGGGCTTGTAGGGTCTTGTACAAGTCCCTTTCTAACCTTGAGAAAACCCAACATGCAGGCGTGAAATTATACGGTAGGTCGGCCCTAAATAACAAGGGAAACCTGGCTAGACTGGCTGATGGAATCACAGCGACCAACCTGAAAGTACCCGTGCGCAATCACACTCGACGACGTCCAAATCTTCACACAGAGTCGTTCTGCACCCTACATGCGCACGACCAACAACATGAGGACATGCGCCCACAGCTTCGCAAACACCTGCTCAGAGCGAGAGAGGGAAGGGAGATACAGAGAGAGAGAGAGAGAGCCTCTTGTAACTATTGCTTATGGTATAAAGGGGGGCAGAACCCCCCATACCCGGAGTATGAAGCCCTAGACCCCCAAACCCTCCCCAAACCCTAAGAGAGCAAACCCTAGACCCCGAGTACACCCTAAAACCCACATCCTAATCGAGTACGTAAATCCTAAACCCCCAAAACCCTAAGGGCCCTCAACCCGAAACCCCAAACCCTGAACCCGGGCACTCTGAGGTGCCGGCACTGGAGCAGAAGCATCACTGACGCTTGCAAAAACACGGAGGACATGGCTGCCCCCCTACTCCAGCAAACCCTAAACCCTAAACCCTAAACCCCAAACCCTAAACCCTAAACCCCTAACCCTAAACCCCAAACCGAAGAAGCCCGGCGTCTGGTTCTCAGCCATGGTGTCCATGCAGCGGAGCATCCTGGGAGGTAACCCTCAAGAGCCCTCTATACCCCCCTAAACTAAGGAATACCTTGTTTAGGGTTTAGGGTTTACGGTTTAGGGTTGAGGGTTGAGGGTTTAGGGTTTAGGGTTTAGGGTTGAGAGAAGAACCTTCGAATCAATCATGTGACCCAGAGTAACCTAGGAGTAGGGTTTAGGGTTTAGGTTTTTGGAGACGCTGGATTGCCGGTTCAGGGTTTAGGGTCCACCCTGAACTCTGTAACGCATTCTCTTCCTTTTGGAAGGGCCATCTAACTTCTTCGCATTCTTAGTGGCTTTGGGGAAAACTCTTTCCTGCTGGATAGGGTTCAGAGTTTAGGGTGAAGCGAAGCAATCTCGACCAAAGCCACACAACCATGGTTGTTTGCATGCTGAACCCCCTCCCTCAATTATTGGTGTGCGGCAAAACTAGCTGTGCAAAGTCCCAGTCCCTAAACAATAAGAACCCAGTACTAGGAGGGGTAACGATTGCATGTTGCCTGTCGGGTGGCACTTGTGTCAAGGATGGCTCAGGACGCAGCTGCTTGAACACCTGCACAGACATCGAAGAGGCTTAGGGCAGATACCTAGAGAGCCCAATGCCCCTTAAGCAAGAATAACTATTACCGCAATTTATTCCTGAACATGATCTAGGGTATGTTTCTTGATTAAGGGGTGTTGAGTTGGGCTCTCTGCGGGGAGGGCTGAGCGTGTTTAAACACACAGCACGACATCGTCAAAAACTCAACGCGTTCAAGTGGTGCATTCCCCTTAACCTCCCTACTCGGCTAGTATAGGGGCCTTAATCATTACCCACCTTTAGAGTAGACCCTGGAAAAAAGTATATACTTTTTAGGTATAAGTATCTATAGTAGGAACCCAGAACCCAAAAAAAGTATTAAAGTACAGTACTCCAAAACCCAGATTACAACTCCGGTTTTGGGGTTTATTATACCACCTTAACAGGTCGAGGACCCGCCTGCAGGTCTAGCCGCCCACCGTGGTGCCCTCCATCCTCGGCGGACGACCGAAACAATACATGTGTCTGACATGTCTTTCACATCATGAGGGTTTAGGGTTTAGGGTTTAGGGTTTAGGGTTTAGGGTTTAGGGTTTAGGGTTTAGGGTTTAGGGTTTAGGGTTTAGGGTGCCATGGTGACACTCTGTAGCTGGGGTCTCCCATTATTCAGAGGGGGCAGGGATTAGTGACCGTACGGGCTTCGGGCCTTTTTCGGGCCCACACCCTTGACCAAAAGTCACAGAAAAAGCCCCTGACCACCAACGCCCCATGGAAGGCCCTACAAACCCTGAACCCAAACCCCCGAAAGCCATTTCCCCAAACCCTGAAGCCCGGACACTAAATCACATCAAGTATCCCTTCATATAATCTAAGGTCTACTTCGACGGGGTGTCCCTCAATTGGGGAACCCTTGTATATCCTTATACACCCCAGAGGTTCATGGTACTTATAACCCAGTTATAACTGTACCTATAACCCACTTGTAAGCCCCTTAAGTGCCCTAACATGGTGATAATTGGGTTATAAGTACATTTATAACTGGTTAATAAGTACCCTGAACCTCCTAGTAAGATTCCAGGGACCCTATAGGGTTTGTGGTTGTGCCTGAAGAGCCCAATACCCCCTGAAGTAAGGAATATCGATCCCAATGTCTACATAGATGTATGTATAGACACATATTCATATATATATATATACATGTATATATATATATATATCTACATACGTATATAATCAGGTATATTCCAAAATCTAGGGGTATTGGGCTCTTTGGGTGAAGGTTTCGAGGTTTGGGGTCTAGGTGTTTTGGGCCATCGGGGCATAGTGGGGTCAAGCCCTGACAAACCAACCACTGAAGCTTCTGACTAGGGCGCCGCAGCGTTCGCAATGAGTCCATACAGCCATCCTTGCTTGGTACAGGGATGCACGGGTTACTCTGCATTCTAATGTCTATAGACTAGCTGCTGTAAGTCTCTACAAACACCTGCTCCATAAAAGTGCACCCTGCTGAAAGTCCCACTTGCCTTATCAAGTGGACCCATGCCAGTTTGTCAAACTCGTTTAACCCCTTGGCACTGGCTTTGGGAGATAAGCTACACAACAGCCCAAACCTACCAAGCAGCTCAACCAGTCGAAGAGAACCCTGAACCTTATGCTAAACGGCACCCCAAACCCTGGCTGAAGTCCTAAACCCCCCCCCCCCCCCGCCGACGCCCCGCGCCCCCCCAAACCTCAAAACCCAAGCCCCAAACCCCAAACCCGGAACCCTAAACCCCCAAAACCCCAAACCTTCCCCCGTTGGCCCTCGTTGTCGGGCGGCGCATCTCCTCGCACACAGGCATGGCCGAGCTCTCCTGGCACAAGGGCGCAAACCGAGTCTCTCAACCCAAACCTAAACCCTATAACCCTAAAAACCCTAAAAAATCCTTAGCCCTAAAAAACTAAACCCTACACGGACGGCAGAGGGGAATCGGGATCCCCTTTATCTCATGCAATGGAATCTGATAAGCAAAACACCTTGGGTAGTCCTCCAAAAAAAGAAGGAAAGGAAGGAACTTCGGATGAAGGCCCGGCAGGCCTGAAGTACGCGAAAAGCACAGAACCGAGATTTCCCGGATCGGGTCAGGACCTGTAGGGTTTCAAACTAATTGGCGCTTGAAACCCTCTGAGAAAATGTTTTCGTCCTCCAACCCCTTCAAAGGGAAAAAAACACAATCTCTAGAAAGTCAGGTCGCGGTTTCCCTCCATGGGTAGGGTTGAGATGGGTTGAGGAAAGGGCTAGGATCTGCCTTGGGGTTTGCGTTGGGTTTGGGGTTTTAGGGTCGCACCCGGGTTTAGGGTTTACAGTAGGTTTAAGCCATCGAGATCTGGATCTGGAAGGAGTTGCTATGCAAGATGTTCCGGCTCAAGCTGGCGCCGTGTTCTCCGGCATTCTCTTGAAGTTTCAGGGTTTAGGGTTTAGGGTTTTAAGTCTTGTATCTCTTGCAACTGCGTACGCCAGATGTCGGACCACCTGAACCCTAAACCGAAGAAAAAGCCCGAAGAAAAGCTGCAGCGAGAATTAGCGTGGCCTTCAGAGCTACATGACGGTTTATAGGGTTCAGGGTATCATGGCAGCTACTGGCAAAGATAGCCTTCCAGCACGAGGACCCTAAACCCTAAACCTCAACCCTCAAACCCTGAACCCTAAACCCTAAACCCTAAACCCTAAACCCTAAAGGACGCGCCGTGAGCACTGCGTGGCCCTGTTTGCGTACACAGCGTTGGGGGTGTTCAGGCTCGGAGGTTCGAAAACCCCAAGACCCGAAAACCTTCCAGCCGGCTCCTTGCCATAATATCAGCTCCAGGCGTTCTACCTTGCGGACCGTTTATCCGAGAGGCTTTGTGGCTCAGGGTTCTCAACACATTTACTTTTTTCTCGACGTCTCTAGAATGCGGGAAGGTTGTTCAGGGCTCGAGGCGCAGGACAGGGGACTTCCGATGACTTACCTTGCTGTTTAAAACGTCTGGGATGGTCAAAGAATCTTCGTCACAAACTCGACGAGCAACGCAGCCCGAATCTGCGACACATAGTCGATGAGTGCGCACGCATGTGGGGCGAAAGGCACTCCCGATCGCTCATCCCTGAACAGCGCTACTGATTGTAGCCAGATCGGTTTACAAAGGTTGAGAGTTTTGTTTTTTTCTGATCCTAGATGTTGAAGACAGACACCGGTTGTGCTTACGGGGCATATGGTCCTCGCAATCCTGGTACTTGGAGGTTCATGGCACTTATTAACCAATGAAAACTGTAATCCTTTCCCCCTCTTATTAAACCCCCCCCTCCCCCAATAGAAACTCGAAATGTGTTTTTAGCATTAGAGGGATGTTTTATCCATATGCCATCTTTTGGGATAGGGTTTAGATTGCTTGAAGGTTTTCGAGGCTCTGCCCCCCCCCCCCCCCCCCCCCCCCCCCCCCCCCCCGCCCCCCCCCCCCACCCCCCCCCCGCCCCCCCCCCCCCCCCCCCCCCCCCCCCCCCCGCCCCCCCCCGCCCCCCCCCACTAATTCGGAATTGGGTTGAAAAGGCGGGCTCGGTTTCGGCAGGATTTTCCCCCGAAAGTGTTCTTACAATCAGGGAGACATTTAATTTAAGCGATTACTTATAACCCACTTAGAAGCCCCTTAAGTGCCCTAATATGGTAAAAGGTACAGTTATAAGTACAGTAATAATTGCTTAATCAGTACCATGAACCTCCAAGTCCAAGTAAACCCTAAACCCTAAACCCGAAACCCTAAACCCGAAACCCTAAACCGGTGGTGTTCATCATCCCTCACATGTCCTGTGCTCTCGCTCCCCACCCTCAGGAAAGACTTGCAGCTCAGGTCTGCTATGGTTTGGGGTTTGGGGTTTGGGGTTTAGGGTTTAGGGTTTAGGGTTTAGGGTTCAGGGTTCAGGGTTCAGGGTTTAGGGTTCGGAGTCGACTGACTACAGTGATCATCTTCCATAACCTCGCCACTTTGTTGGGATCAAGTTCTTGTATGGAACTACCCATGGTCATTGACCTTCAAGTTCCTTCCAGGATCCAAGGAGCTGAAGGTTCAGGGCTACTATCTACGGCTTTGGATGAAAGGTTTAGGGTTTGGGGGTTTAGGGGTTTAGGGGTTTAGGGCTTTAGGGGTTTAGGGGCTTAGGGCTTTAGGGGTTTAGGGGTTTAGGCGCGCCTCGCGCGAGAGGCTGATGGCATCCGCGAGGGACAGCACTCCATCGCCGTCCAGGTCGTACAAGGCAAAGGTGAGGTGGATGCGCTCCTTTTAGGGTTTTGGGGGTTAGGGTTTTGGGTTTGGGGTTCAGGGCTTAGGGTTTAGGGTTTAGGTTTTAGGTTCACTACTTGAAGGTTCATGGTACTTTGTAACCCTACTTATAACTGGGATACCCCTATAAGGCCCTTTAGGGGTATTTTAAGTAGGGTTATAAGTACAGCTATAATTGGCTAGTAAGTACCGTGACCCTTCAAGTAATACGCCCCACCCCACCCCCCCACCCCCCCCACCCTAGTCTATACTCCCGTTAGAACCTTAACAAAAAACTAATATTTGTTTATCCTCTTGGGTATGAATATAATACTTCTAAACAAAAAAACAATTCCCAAGGGGGATGTAGTAGTAAACAGGGTTAGCCCGTTGAGTTCCCGGGAACAGGTTCAACTTCAAAGCAGAAAGCCCTATCACAGCAGACCCTGTCTAAATCATATTAAGGATCCCTACGTCAGATCCCTGTCATGGTTCAGGGTACATGAATACATTCCTTGACTGAGGGGTATTCTGTTTGCTGGGTAGCTCACCACTCGCGCAATTCCTCGACTCCTGCTAACCCCCCCTAAACCCTAAACCCTAAACCCTAAACCCTAAACCCTTAATAAGCCCTAAACCACTTCTGCTAAAGGCATGTCCGGCCAATCATGTCAGGGTCCCTCATCCATACCTTTTAGACTCGCCACCCCGCTGGAAACCTTTTTTTAGCCTAGGGGCTCTATCTTAAGCCCTTAAGGTTGTATCTTTGGGTTTTGGGGTCCCTGTTAAAGATCCTTAAGGTATTCTAAGGGCCATAGCAGGAGTATATTGGAGTATCTTAAGAGGAATCTTTCTAGAACTGCATGCAACATTCAACACTTGCTGTCGCAACGCTACTGGTCGCGGAGGCGACTCTTCCAGCTTCACTACTTGAAGGTTCATGGTACTTACGAACCAATTATGGCTGTACTTCTAACCCTACTTGTAATACCCCTTTAAAGGGCCTTCTAGGGGTTATCCCAATGATAAGTAGGGTTATAAGTACAGTGATAATTAGTTAGTAAGTACCGTGAACCTTCAAGTACCTGGGCGACTTCCTCTGCATGCTGCATGGGACCGAGTCGGCATCGACAGAAGCCATGGTGCCACTACCCAAAACCCTAAACCCTATACCCTAAGCCCTAAACCCTTAAACCCTAAACCCTTCAACCCTAAACCCTAAACCCTAAACCGGAGAAACTTCTCTACCAACTTTTGGCTAAGAATCTGCATGTGCCTTCGCGTCGCGCCTCAAGACCTTAAACCCAAACACCTATAAACCTCAAACCCAGAACACCTACACTGGGGGTCCCTGAGCTAACAAGCCCGAAACCCTGAAACCCTCCTAAACACCCTAAACCCCTCTATTCCTTGCATAATCAGGCTTTTGGGCCCAAAAACACCCTGAAATAAGAGTTCTTGGAGCCTTAGGGTACAGTAGAACACGATTTAAAGAGTTGTAGAGTCAGATACGACGGTTGTTATTACGAGGGTTATAGGGTTACAGGTTTAGGCACGCTTGTCCATGTACCCCAAGAGCACTTGCTCCATACCCTTAAGTAAGGAATCTCCGTAAGTCACACTAAGGATTCCTGAAATTCAAAGTACGTTCTGCTTCACGCCAGGACTGAGGGCCGCGTTGTATTTCCCCTAAACCCTAAACCCTTACAAACCCTCAACCCTTAACCATAAACCCTAAACCCTAGACCCTAAACCCTAAACCCTAAACCCGACACCCTAGGACTGCTGCCGTGGTCGAGAACCCTACGCCCGGTCCTGCGAGGAATCCCAGTCTCCGTTGCGGTAGCGCTCCTTTGGGTGCTATGCTTGGGCTCTCGTCGCAGTCAGGTTTAGGGTTTAGGGTTTAGGGTTTAGGGTTTAGGGTCTAGGGTCTAGGGTCTAGGGTCTAGGGTCTAGGGTCTAGGGTCTAGGGTCTAGGGTTAAGGGTTTAGTGCTATTTTCTTAAGCTTGAAGGCTTCGGGGTTTCGGGCGTTTGGGCTTAACGACCGGGCCGGGACAATGTGTTGTTCCACCTTAAGCACCGAACTCGACACCGCACCGAACCCGACACCCTCACAGACACCATATACTTGAAGGTTCATGGTACTTACTAACCAATTATAACTGGGCTTATAACCCTACTTCTAATTGGGATAACCCCTATAAGGCCCTTTAGGGGTATTATAAGTAGGGTTATAAGTACAGTTATAATTGGTTAGTAAGTACCATGAACCTTCAAGTATAGGACATGTAACAACCATTAAGGCTAATTAAGGGGTCTTAGGGGTCTTTGTGTGCCCATGAAGGCGCAAGGAAGTTGCAAGGACCTTTGAATCTACAGGAGATTTCAAACTTTAGAGTGCCAACTTTGGGTACGACAGTAGGCTTCATCAAGTGCAGCATTGAGATCACCCCCCTCCCCCTTGAAAACAAAGACCTCCCGCTGGCAGGTCGTGGGCTGAGTTGGTGATTGCTTTTAGTGTCATACTTGGAGGTTCAGGGTACTTACTAACCCAATTATAATTGCACTTATAAGCCCCTTAAGTGCCCTAACATGGTTACAATGGGGTTATAAGTACAGTTATAGCTGGGATACTAAGTACCATGAGCCTCCAAGTAGGGGCCTTTTGACTCATCGGGTCCAGGGTTCAGCGTGGACATAATCATAGGGCTGGGCTTGTCAGGACAGGAGGGTTTTGGGTCCAAGGGTTTACAGCTAACACAAAATCCCCAAACCCTAAGCTCTGCAATCTCCCCCAAGCCAGGAACCCCTAAACCCTAAAACCTAAACTCCCCAAACCCTAAACCCTAAACCCTAAACCCTAAACCCTAAACCCTAAACCCTAAACCCTAAACCCTAAACCCTAAACCCCCCAACCTCCCCCCCCCCCCCCCCCAAGCCATGGAGAAGACCAAGGCACCAGAAACTGCGCCCACTCGAGGATACCCACCGGAGCCATCCTTGGGGAGACGGCCTCGAAGAGGCGTCCTTGTGAAAGATTTAGGTTTAGGGTTTAGGGTTTAGGGTTTGGGGTTTGGGGTTTGGGGTCTGGGGTTTAGTGTTTAGTTTAGGGTTTGGGGTTTATAGGTGTAGGGTTTGGGGTGCGAGATGGGTTTGAGATTAGCTGGGCTCCCGTGCTTGAGGCTCGAGGTTTTTGTGTTTTGTGCCGCTGCCGCGGATGGCCCTTGTGTTTGCAGGTAAGCACTGCCATCGCACCCCTTTGGAACGGAAAAGCCCCAAAACCATCAGCGACACACGGAGTCAATCTGACGGGGGCGCGACTCATGGGGCCACTCCCCAAAGAGCCCAATACCCCTTAATTAAGGAACATTCCTTAAATCATATTAAGGATCCCTGTATAATTTAAGGTCTATTCCTTAATTAAGGAGAATTGGGCCCCTCTGGGTCTCTCAAGGTCCTGCGATGTCGCCAACAGGAATTCCGAAAATCCTGGGCCACGACCAGGTTTAGGAATAGGGTTTAGGGTTTAGGGTTTAGGGTTTAGGGTTTAGGGTTTAGGGTTTAGGGTTTAGGGTTTAGGGTTTAGGGTTTAGGGTTTAGGGTTTAGGGTTTAGGGAGCTGTTGCCTGAAGGCTCTAATGCAGTTCCTGTTTGGTTTAGTTCGAGGGGGGCTCTAGTATACTACCCTAAAAAGATAGTACATAGGAGCCTTTGGGAGGGGTGTAGCATGCAGAAGCCTAAACCCTAAACCCTAAGCGCTCCAGGGTTGTAGGGTTTTGGGAGCTTTTGGTCCAAGGAGGCCGCACGTGAACACCTGCAAGCCTCGAGCTCGCCTACGGTTACTCCCACGAGAACTACTTGGCAGCTCCTTTGACTTAGTAGGTCTACTTTATGTTTTCGAGAAACCCTCTTATGATCCCCATAACTTCGTTTTCAAGAAACCCTCTTATGATCCCCATAACCCACCTTACTAAACCTACCTACTAAGTCAACAGGGCTTCCAAGCAAGAGCTTTAGGATTTGGGCTCGGGGCTTGGCCCTCCTTGCTGCGAACGGGCCGCTTGTCTGCCGATGCTACAAGTCGTGCTCTCTGGATCAGCCAGTCCTCGTCTTTTCCGAGGATACGCAAAGTTGTCCCAAGCATGTGCCGAGCTATCTGATCACAGGATACGCCTTTTCAAGCAGTGGCGGGAGACAGGAGCAAGATCGCGGATCTTTAGAAGGGGTCCCCAAACCCAAGGATACACCCTAGGGGCTCAAGGGTAGGAGTCCCTTTTTGGACCCTCCTTTTGACCCTACTTGGAGATTCATGCTACTATGAACCCAACTATATCTGCACTCATAACCCAACTATAACCATGTTAGGGCACCTAAGCGGCTATAAAGCGGGTTATAAGTACATTTATCACGGGTTAGGAAGTACCATGAACCTCCAAGTACACCCTCTTCCCGTCGAGCAAAAAAAGCACTGGGGCCTCATCCCGGAGCGCCTCAAAAACACGCATGTGCCAGGAGAAGTCCTGAGCTAGACCCAGGAATAACCTAGGAATAGGGTTTACGGTTTAGGGTTTAGGGTGACCCAGTATTGACCTAGGAATAAAAAGGGCACCCTTTTTGGTTCTAAGGAGATTGCAAGGGAACCCCACGCCTCAAAAAAGGAAATATATAAGGGCCTACTCTGGGTCCTAGTCAGTCTGCGATCGGGTAGTTCTCTGGACCGCTATTTGGTTACGAGCCCCCGTCAAAAAAGGACAAAATCTTCCTTGTATGGATGATATAGGGTTTATTCTGACAGAAAAACATCTTCCTCATACGGATAATGTTGGGATTATTATCTTTAAGCTTTTCGTGGGTTCTTAAGCAAGGGGCAGGGTTGCCTCCTGCAAGCAGAGCGAAGCACTGCAGCAAGTCACACGGGGCATACCAACCCAAACCGAAACGTCCCCCACCCACCCCAACAACCCAACACATCCCGGTGGAATCCAGCAATTTCAGAATATGTCGATTATCGAAAAAAGAACAAACCATGTACAGAATCGAACCCTGATCAATCCTACTATTGAACATATTGACATAGGCCTGATAAGAGTTCAGCATGATTGGTCGAAGTGAGCTGAAATCGATTATTTTGATGGCTTTGATCAGGCCAGCGGAATGACATAATTTAGATCGAAGCTCTCAGGAGACTGCAGACCTCGGATAGCCTGGGCGAAGAACCCGAAACCCGAACCCCCAAACCCCTAAACCCTGAACCCGACGCCAGATTGATAACATAACACTCACATAACTTGATAAAGGCGGAATTATGAAGCAGTATACTATGGGTAGCTCTCAAAAAATCCGGGTCCCTTTGGCGGTCCCTTTGGCGGTCCCTTATTCTATTGTAAGGGTGCCATACTCTATACATATATATATATACAGACAGACACATAATATACATACACATATATATATATACATATTTAGATTTATATTTACATTAAAAAATTTTAGTTGTATTTGCATATCTATATGTATATATCTACATATTTATACAAACTCAGATACATGTATATGCATATATATATATATAGAGTCTGTTGTTCATTCTTTTATTTGTTTATTTATTTTGTTTGATTCTTATTTACAGACAAACTTGCAGGACCCAAAAAAAGAACCCTGATTGAGAGAACTACCCATACGGTGACTTCTCTTCAGGATGGTCCCTTCTTGGGTACCCTACATCTTAGCGGCCGCCCAAGAGTAGGGTTTAGGGTTTATTAGCGTTTAGGGTTTAGGGTTTGCTGTGATAGGGCGTAGATGCTATGAAGGTTAGGTTTGGAACAAGCTCGAAAGCTTCGTGAGGCGCGAAGAGCAGCTTTGGCCCGATTTTGGAAGGCCACCTAACACTTTTCTCCCACCCCACGCCGTCCGAGGCGGCAAAGCCACCCGAACCTGTTCCTTTTAGGGTTTAGACCTAAACTCAAGCCAACTGCTTACTTTCCATAAAACTTCTTCATTCCGGCACGCTGGTCGCCAGCCTGGTTCAGGCAGAAGGGCAGAAAGGCCCAGATGGGTAATCCAGTCCAGCAGGGCCCAGGCGATAGAGACCGCCCACTTGCAACTCTCATGCAGATAAGGCCTTCTTTTATTTTTCTACAAAGCATCAGGCCAGGGAGGCCATGGCCAAGCCAGGTAGGGCAGCTTCACGGAAGGGCCGGGGCTCCCTCGCAGGTCACTGAGCGCTCGACCAGCGCCCGCCTACCCCAAAAGACAAGAGAGTGGGGTGGCGGCGGGTTTAGGGTTTAGGGCAGTAAGCCCCAAAAGGGATCCTAATTTGGAAAAAGGGGCTTACGACAGTAGGGGACCCCGAATATAGACCCCCGAAATAGTACTGAGGACGGTACCCCTGAGGCCTAAACCCAAACACTACTTAAACCCTGAACCCTAACCCTAATCCCCAAACCCTAATCCCAAACCCTAAACCCTAAACCCTAAACCCTAAACCCTAAACCCTCTCATATCATTGGCATCTTGCGCCAGGCCACAGCCTCTTTCAGAAAAGGGAGTCGGGCGCGCAGTTCCTTCATCTCGGCCTGCTTGAGGGATTGGAGTTTAGGGTTTAGGGTTTAGGGTTTAGGCTTAGGGGTTTAGGGTTTAGGGTTTAAGGGTTTAAGGGTTTAAGGGTTTAAGGGTTTAAGGGTTTAAGGGTTTAAGGGTTTTAGGGTGTTAGGGTTTAAGGCTTTTAGGGTTTTAGGGTTCTAGGGTTCTAGGGTTTTAGGGTTTTAGGGTTTTAGGGTTTTAGGGTTTTAGGGTTTTAGGGTTTTAGGGTTTTAGGGTTTTAGGGTTTTAGGGTTTTAGGGTTTTAGGGTTTTAGGGTTTTAGGGTTTTAGGGTTTTAGGGTTTTAGGGTTTTAGGGTTTTAGGGTTTTAGGGTTTTAGGGTTTTAGGGTTTTAGGGTTTTAGGGTTTTAGGGTTTTAGGGTTTTAGGGTTTTAGGGTTTTAGGGTTTTAGGGTTTTAGGGTTTTAGGGTTTAGGGTTGTTCGGTTTGTAGGGTTTTAGGGTTTTAGGGTAAACCTCCAAGTGTACCCTGAAATCCTGAAACCCTCAACAACCTCGAGACCCAGGAGTAACCTAGGAATAAACAGGTTTGGGTTTAGGGTTCAAGGTTCAAGGTTTAGCAATTGGAAAAAGTGGGTTGCCCTTCTTTGGTTTTAAAAGGCGAAGGGCGAGGGGAACCTAAACCGTGAAAAATGTGAATGAAGGCCCCAGTAACCCAAAACCCTACAAACCGCCAACCCTTCTGCCCCATAAACCCTCAACCCTAAGCCTTACAGACCCTTTTCAACCCTAAGCCTCATAATCCCTTTTCAGCCCAAACCCTAAAACCCCAAAACCCTCTAAACCCTAGACCCTATTTACCCTAAACCCTACAAACCCTACAGACCCTTCAAAGACCCTGCATTGGATGTTCCCCCTTCTACTAACAGTACTTGATAGGGATCATAGTACCCCCTCTATTGTAATTCCTACTCAGAACTGTTAGTGTAAGGGTGAACATCCCAAACCCAAAGTAAACCCTAAACCCTAAACCCTCAACCCTAAACCCTCAACCCCAAAGTGGCCTCGAAGCGCTCCAAGACCAGAGCCGACCCTGGGTGTCCACCTGGAGAAGGTGACGGTTTAGGGTTTAGGGTTTAGGGTTTAGGGTTTAGGGTTTAGGGTTTAGGGTTTAGGGTTTAGGGTTTAGGGTAGGGCGGGGGGAGGGGCGGGCGGGGGGTAGGGTTAAGGGGTTTAGGCAGGGGTAGAGGGTTTAATTGGGGGTTTAGGGGTTTAATGTTGGACTCGCTTTAGTGCAAACAATTTTGGGGTTTTCGGGGGTATCCTTAATAATGTGGGCTGGGGCTGGGACGGGGGCTGGGGGTAGGGCGGCTAGGGGTCGAGGGTTGAGGGGAAGCCTTGAAGCTTGAGGGTCTAAGCTTTCCAGGCTTTGTAGCTCCACGGTCGCCGGCGCTCCGAATTATTGCGGACCACCGAAACAACTTGCTAAAGCGAATCAGGGCAGCTCGTGGGCTACTCCCTTGGAAAATTGTTTGGGGGCCTGTTTCGTAATGAAATTTGACAAGGAATTTAAATAAGGCTGGACAACAAAAAACCCGGAGTTTCTTATTCAAAACTTTTTTTAGTTTTTGGCTCCCCGGCCCCCCACCCTTCAACCCCAGCCGGGACAACATCGCATAATTGTGAACCACCCTCAACAATGGGGGGTTCTGTATAAGATTTTCGGAACATCGCATAATAGCGGTCCCATCCACTAAAGTGGGTGCAACATTAGGGGTTTCGGGGGTTTTAGGGGTTTGGGGGTTTAGGGGTTGGGGGGTTTAGGGGTTTAGGGGCTTAGAGGAAAGATGCTTGGGGCCTTTGCCACCCCCAGCTCACACGCATGCACTGCGAGGACTACTTCAGGGTATTGCAAGGAGCCCAACCCAAGGAAGGAACAATGCCATACGAAAATGCAGGACAATATTCAGAGACTGAGGGCTTCAAAGGCTTTAAGGGGCGTAGGAGGTGTAGGGTTTGAAGCACTCAAAGTGTTATAGGCCCTTAGGGGCGTGGGCTGAAGAGATCCAGGGGCATTGGGGCTTCAGGGGTTGTTCGGTTTAGGGGTCATGGTGTTTCAGGGCTTCGGGGGTTTTAATTCAAATTAAAGCAATGAGAGAATATCCCTGTTCCCCTAGGAAGCAAAAAGGCTCCTTTTTGTTCATATATAAGAAAGACCATAACCCAAAAAGTAAAAAGGATCCCCTAACACTGATCTAGATAGATATTGTCATGAATAACATGAACCGCCTCAAGCACATACAGTCCCAGCTGTGGACCTGCGTTCAACTCTGGTATGTCAAGAGGCGTAGCAAATGTCAACACACCAGTTGCGAAGGTAGGGCCCAGTTTCCAAAAAACCTGAAATCTTGTCAAATACGCTTGGGGCAATTCTTTCGAGGCTAAGGTTCCGAAATGTATCCTACTTCTGCTACCAAAGCCGTATCGGAATTCAATCAGATGTCCACGTTGCAGAAAAAATGGCCAGCATAGAGGTCATACACACCCCACTTTGGAACAACCCGCCGACTCAGAGCATCAGAGCAGGGGATTTAGGGCGTGACCCTTTCAACCCTAAACCCTAAACCCTAAACCCTGACCCCTAAGCAATCTCGAGCAACCACCACAGGGCCCACCTGGCTCCGGTGGCTTCGCAGCGCTGGCAAACCTTGCAAGCTAGGTACCCCAGAAACCCGGGTCAACAGCAGCCTACTTGAATGTTCATGGTACTACAGGGTTTAGGGTTTAGGGTTTAGGGTCATGGTACTGATTAACCAAATAAAGCTGTACTTACCCACTTAGAAGCCCCTTAAGTGCCCTAACATGCTGATAAGTACAGTTATGATTGGTTAATAAGTGCCATGAACCTCCAAGTACTGTCTTGGTAGCCCAGTAGCTACATTATGCTAAGAGTACGCAGCCCTTTTTTGGTTGGCTACTTTGTAAACTTTACCAGGGAGCCTTGAAGCAACAAAAAAGCAAAAGGTACCACTGCGCTACCATGGAGAAGGCTTGGGGTTGAGGGTTCGAGGGTTTGCCCCTTCCCAAAACAAGGCGCCCAAAGCTCTATGAGACGAACCCCCAAGGGTTTAGGGTTCAGGGTTTAGGGTTTAGGCTTTCTTTACATGGGGAACCCTCGTATTCCCCTTTTTTCCCCTGTGAAACCAAAGGTCCCACTCTTCGGAACCCTTTCAAGAACATGTCACTTCCCTCAGATAAGCCTCAAACCTTAAGCCCCATAAGCTCTAAGCCCTAAGCCCTAAACCCTAAACCATGACCCTGATAAACTGCCAGCGAGCTGGTGCGGCGCAGCCGACTCTGGTGTGGTCACCTGGCTTAGGGTTAGGGCGGGTTTAGGACTTACTTGGAGGACCATGGTAGTTACTGTATAAACCAATGATAACTGCGCTTATAACCCACGCATAAGCCCCTTAAGTGCCCCAACATGGGTGCAAGTACAGTTATAAGTACAGTTTTAATTGGTTAATGAATAAGTACCATGAACCTCCAAGTAGGGTTAGGGCTTCGGGGTTGGGGCTGAGGGTTTGGGGCTTAGGGCTTCGGGCTTAGGATTTTGCAAGAGGTTCTGAGGATGCTTTCGAGGCTCAGGGGGTTAGGGTTCTCAAGCTCTTTCGTTGCCTTTTGATGCGCTCGGGCTGACATTGCCGCGAACGAGGGTCGCTTCCTTACTACGATGACTGAGACGAAGTTCCGGAACAGTTTTCTGACCCTAAACCCTCAACCCTAAACCCTAAACCCTAAACCCAAACTCCTGCTTCACCCAGGACTGCCGAGGCTAAGTAGGACTTGTTCACCAAGTCGAGGGGGCCTCACCAAAAGAAACGCGCTCATTGCTCCCTCCCCCCACCCCAACACCACTCAGTCTAAAAACCCACACAATCCATGTCTCGAAGCTTAAGAACCCTCCAAATCAGGGCAATGCGGTGATTGTTATCTTTTTTGCGTGGGCGGGGGGGGGGGGTTCTTAAGCAAATCGCAATCCAACGCCCACGCCTTCAACTTCAGCGTCACCGTCGACTTCTTGTCCCTGCGCGACTGCCTGGGCTTCTGGCGGATCTTGGGGGGGTATGGGAGGTCTTGGACACCTTACAAGCAGCCGTTACCGGCACGGCGCGGCTCCAGTGGTGTCTTCGCCAACCCGTCCCAACCACAACCAAAAACAAAAAACATCGCTTCAAAAACCTGGAGCCCTTGACTCCAAATCCTGCAGCCAGGAAGGGTTGGACCCTGAACCCCTCAAACTAAACCCTAAACCCTAAACCCTAAACCCTAAACCCTAAACCGCCGAGCGGCTCTTCCTGCGTCAGCGTCACCTCGCCATCAAAGCCCCCCGGCCAGAATTGGGAGCTCGGCATCACGCAGCTCCCCAGCAGCTCGTCGACCTAGGACTGATCTTAAGCTTAGTTGGGTCTAGGGTTTTCAGTCGGGTTTAATTAGGGCTAGTTGGGTCTAGGGTTTTAAGTGGGGTTTAATGAGGGCTTAGTTAGGGTTTTGTTAGGGTTTAGGGTTCAGGGTTCAGAGTTGAGGGTTTAGGGTTCAGGGTTCAGGGTTGGATTGATCTTAAGCCTTGTGTGGGTTCGCCGAGAGTCTGTCAGAGCTGTCCATTCTTACTTGCGCACCTGTGCATCCTAAGGGTGTGCTTGGGGTATACAGCCTTTTCAAGAAAAACAGGGGGGTTCGGGGCCTCTTATCTTCCCTAAGAGCCCAAAACGGAGTATCCCTGATCCGTCATATGATTGAATACATTCCTGAATTACGGGTCGTTGTGCTCTTTGGGTTCAATGTGGGCAAGCATGAAACACCCCATAGTCGCGGTGTCCGCCTTTATGAAGCCGACCCCCTGAGACGGGACCCGTTCTTTGACTCCGAGATACTTGAAGGTTCATGGTACTTACTAACCAATTATAACTGTACTTATAACCCTACTTATAATTGGGATAACCCCTAGAAGGCCCTTTAGGGGTATTATAAGTAGGGTTATAAGTACAGTTATAATTGGTTAATAAGTACCATGAACCTTCAAGTAGGGTTTAGGGCTTGGGGGTCTAGATGGGAGCAGGGCTCCAGATGTATAATACCCCTATAGTAAACTCCAGAAAGTTGGAACATGGCTTAAGGATGATTAGATCTGGGATTCCCTCTAGTATACCTTTTGGGGTGTGGGGATAAGGATGTTCCAACTTTTTGGATATTTTTGCACGACATAGTAGTACAATCACGACGTTTCCTGTGGATTGTATGCTGGCAACAATGCCCAACATGCCCTTAACATCCCGACCTGCGCTTCACTCTAATTCAAGGGACTCAAGGAGGGACCCTTCTAAGGGACCTTAGGGGTCATGTTGGGTTTAGGGTTTAGGGTTTAGGGTGTAGGGTGTAGGGTGTAGGGTTTAGGGTTTAGGGTTTAGGGTTTAGGGTTTAGGGTTTAGGGCTTAGGGTTTAGGGTTTAGGGCATTCGGGGCTACTTAGGCAGATAGGAACTATACAAGGTACATACAGGGGCGTTATCGGGCAACAAGACTAAAGGTCCCTTCGAGGGGTCCCTCCTGGTCTATTATATCCCTTCACTCGAATGCAAGGCAAGGCACTTGCGAAGACCTACCCTGGTCGCTGTCATGGATGGCGAAGCGGAGCGCCTTGAGAGTGCTCGCTTGCTGGTGCTTTACCCTTGAAACCTAGACCCTAGACCCTAGACCCTAAACCCCAAACCCTAAACCCTAAATCCTAAACCCTAAACCCCAAACCCTAAACCCTATAAGACTTCGGAAATCAAGGCTGGGTCAAAGTTCGGGGTTTTGACATGCGCCTGGGCCTGGTCCGTGTGGCCCCCAGAGCGCCCAATACCCGGGTTTAGGGTTTAGGGTTTAGGGTTTAGGGTTTAGGGTTTAGGGTTTAGGGTTCGGGTTTCGGGATCCTTCATTATTGTGATTTAAGGTATGCTGTATTCCTTACCTGGCTCTTAGTAGGGCATTGAAGTAGGGTCCCGAAAGAAAGCTACACGCCATGGTAGTCCACAAACTGCACGTTTGCACAGTCAGGTGGTTGTGAACCGGCCTGTGGTTCAGGCTCTCATGACAGGATTGGGGAATGAGGGCCCTACATATACCCTTTAAGGGATTATATAGGGCCCTCATTCCCTCATGCCCCACCAAGAACGAGCCAGATGGAGGGACTTTCACTTTGAGACCTCCAGCTTAAGTTCAGAGGCGAGGGGGTTTAGGGTTAAAAGTGTGAGCAAAAGCTACCTCAAACCCTCAAGACCTCCGTGACCTGACGCCAGAAGTCTGGCAGTCGATCGAATCCCTAGACCCTAAGTCCTATAAGCCCTAAGCCCTAAGCCCTAAACCCTAAACCCTAAACCCTAAACCCTAAACCCTAAGCCCTAAACCCTAAACCCTAACCCCCAGTCGATCGTGGATCGGCTCCCCAGCCTCTCCCGGCAAGTAGTCGACCACCTCCTTCTTCTCGTTCCAAACCTGCGTGGTCAAGGAACATACCCTAAGATTATATCAAGGATCGTTTAGGGTTTAGGGTTTAGGGTTTAGGGTTTAGGGTTTAGGGTTTAGGGTTTAGGGTTTAGGAATCTGCGTGGTCAAGGAGCATACCCCAAATTAGCAAGGATCCCTCTATAGTTCAAGGTGTGTTCCTTTATTAAGGGTTAAAATCTCTTGCAGGAGGAATATACGCAAAGCCGTATAAGGCCTTCATATTAATTGGGGTATATTCCTAAAATTATAAAAGATCCCTATATAGCTTAAGGCATACTGAATGCATCATTTGAGGGGTATAAGGGCTCTCTGGGTTTTCTCCGAACTGTGGACCCTTCTACACGGACTCCAGATACTGATGGCCAGACAAACTTGAAGGTTCATGGTACTTACTAAGCAATTATAACTGTACTTATAACCCTACTTATAATACCCCTACAGGGCCTAATTATAGGGGTTATCCCAATTATAAGTAGGGTTATAAGCCCAGTTATAGTTGGTTAGTAAGTACCATGAACCTTCGAGAAGGGTCATCATTCGGAGAGCCGACCACGCACCCCACTCCAAGTCGGGGTAGGCGCACGTAAATGGCACCCCTTCAACAATGTAAGGAGGCTTTAGCGTTCTAGGGTTTCGGGTTCAGGGTTTAGGGTTTAGGTTTAGTGAGCCCAGCCAGTTTTGTGCCCCCGACCTTGCACCAACTAAAGATGGATCGAGAGATGGAGTGAGAAGGGATTCGGCCAGGCCCTTGTTTCCTTACAATGGCGAGGTGTCCAGACTTAGAGGTTCATGCTACTTCTTGACCAACTATAACTGTACTTATAACTGTACATACCACTATATTAGGGGCACGTAGGGGGCTATAAGTACAATTGTAATTGGTTAATAAGTACCATGAACCTCCAAATGGGCTCGATGGGACTCGATGGGCCTCAGGTACTAGCAGCACTGGGGTATAGCAGCTTGGCCATATGGGGGTTTCCGAAGGTAGGGGTACCTCATTATTGGGATCCTTCTTGTAAGGGTCGCCTACTATTTGAGGGTTTATGTTTTTGAGGGTCCCCTATTTTCGTAAACTCCCATATTTGCAAGACATGCTTCGCACTTGTGATGGTTCACTCACGCATGCTGCACAAGTGTATTATGGGGTCCCAAGAAGGTATCAAGTCATGAGCACAAGGAGCGAGGTAACCTCAGAGCAAGTTGAGGTAGCAGTGCTAGCACGATGCTTCGCAAACCCACACCACTTAACGCACCTAATCTGAAAAACAACAAAACAGGCTGCCCAACCCATCAAAACTAGGCATTGGAACTTCACGGTTCCTTCTCCAATCGGCGTCGAGCTCCAGATCCCTATATATCTTAGTTGTCCAGTAACCTGGGCGAAGTAAAGGTTAGCCTTTGGGATGTAATAGGGATTAGAATACCCCAAAAAGGTCAAAGGTTACCTACTCTACTACTAAGATAAGGCCCCGCCGGATCGAGTGAGTCGGTCGCAGTCTTCGTCTGGAGCCTTGCGGGTGCAGACCATTTCTGAAATTCGTGGTTCCAAAATAACCCGAAACCATGGGTGTAGGGTTTATAGCGGATTAGCCAACATAATTCTCGGATTCCTAAGGGATGGGGGGGTAGGTATGTAGGGAACCTTGGGGAAGCGCTTGGAAAGCCTTAGGGAGAAGTAGGGAGCATTAGGGAACCTTGGGTTACATACACCCCTCGAACCCCCTAAACCCCAAACCCTAAACCCTAAACCCTAAACCCTAAACCCTAAACCCTAAACCCTAAACCTTAAACAACCACTGACTGGGCAGAGCCCCACCCTGTGAAGCCAACTGTTGCGGGCTTGGGTCCTGGAGCCCAGGAAGTGAATTCTTGGGGCCCTCTTCTTACCCTTAGGCTCAAAAAAAGCCCCAAAATCTATTCTGAGAAGGGTTTTTGGGCCCCTAAAAACCTGAAATAAGGGCCCTGCCCCTAAGCGCACCAGACCGTCTGCGTAGATGTCCCTTCTTGCCCCTCCCTTGGTCCCGAACCCTGTTTCGGGTTTTGGGTCACTTGGAGGTTCAGGGTACTTGTAATCCCTACTAGAACTGCACCTAAAAGCCCTCTAAGTCCTCTAAGTATGTTATATAAGTAGACTTGTAGTGGGAGCTGGCTTGCTTAAAGGGATTCATAGATGGATACTATCAACTAAATGGGGATACTTCATCTGATTTAAGGCCTATTCCTTATCTCAGAGGCGTTTGGGAGCTCTTTGGGTAATTCTGCAGACTCCCGACCCGAAGGAGCCAGGCAGCCTCTGGTACTTCGTGCGGCCGGCTATCTCACCTCAGGACGCATTGCAGCGACTAGGAATAAAAAGGGTGCCCTTTTTGGTTTTCGAGGGGCTGCAAGGGAACCTAGACCCAAAGAACAAGGGAATATAAGGGCCTACTCTGGGTCACAGTTTCGGGTCTTTGGGGCTGAGGGCTTAGGGTCCTGTTTTGGGAAGTGGTATTCAACGGGGCTTCTGGGGCAGGCTCCTACAGCACCCTCAACCCTAAATCACCTGTGCCTTTGCGCGAAGTCCTAAACTCATTCTTCTACCAGGAGTTCCTGCCTACACCGCCCTAAACCCTAAACCCTAAACCCTAAACCCTAAACCCGAAACCCTAAACCCTAAACCCCAGGAACAGCTTTGCCAAGAGGCAGGTGCAATAGGAATCGGCCTTCGAAGGCGCCGTCTCCTCAGCACCAAGGCCGAAGTACAAAAGAAACTGCCCAGGGAGCAATACTCCTTCATTGAGGAATATGTGGGTTTAGGGTTTAGGGTTTAGGGTTTAGGGTTTAGCGTTTAGGGTTTAGGGTTTAGGGTTTAGGGGGTTAGGGGTTTAGGGTTTTAGGGGTTTAGGGGTTCTAGAGGTTTTCGGGGTTTTCTGGGGTTTATGTTTTAGGACCTTAGGGGTTTAGGGATTTAGGGGTTTTGCGGGTTTTTTGGGGATTTACACTTTAGGGTTCAGGGGGGTAGGGGGAGGGGCTGGGGTTTAGGGGTTTAGGGTTTACGGAGTCCAGGGGTTTAGGGTTATAGGCAGGGGTGTGTAGCCGTGGACGCGCGCGCGCGCGCGGCTTTGCATAGCTTAGTAGTAGCCCCGACCCGAACGATTCTCTTTTGCGGTTCGGGGCCCACCCCTTAGCAAGGGGGCTGTCTAGGGTTTTTGGGAGGTCTTCAGAACTTGAAAAGCGCTAACTCCACTACGTAAGTAACTGTGAAGAAGCCCACCTGAGGTTCTGGGAGGCCTTGGGCCTCTACGTACCTTGGGTTTAGGGTTTAGGGTTTAGGGTTTAGGGTTTAGGGTTTAGGGCTTGCACTATGCACCCCAAGCCCCCACAAAAAACTTCCTTACACATCTTGTTGCTGAACTAGGACGTCATCATCTTCATGCAACACCTTTTCTTCGCCACGCAAAACCCTACAAACCCCTAAACCCTAAACCCTAAACCCTAAACCCCAAACCCTAAGCCCTAAGCCCTAAGCCCTAAGCCCTAAGCCCTAAACCCTAAACCCTAAACCCTAAACCCTAAACCCTAAACCCTAAACCCAAACCGGGTTGTAAGGACACCACAGCGCTGCGTAGTCCGGTGGCACCTTGGCAGCCGCACTTCCAGGGATCGGGCTCTTAGGGCGTGGCTTAGGGTTTAGGGTTTAGGGTTTAGGGTTTAGGGTTTAGGGTTTAGGGTTTAGGGTTTAGGGTTTAGGGTTTAGGGTTTAGGGTTTAGGGTTTAGGGTTTAGGGTTTGGGTCTGGGAGTTAGGGGAAACTATCACCATCGATGGCGCTCAACCGCTCAGAAACAGTCGAAACAAGCATAGACACAAGACATCTGACTACTATTCGTGGTGCCGAAGATAATCTGAACGTCACTTCACGGGCACAGTATGCACAGTGGTTGCTATGCCCCAGGCCCCTGAACCCTCCAGCCCTAAACCCTAAACCCTAAACCCTGAACCCTGAAACCTAAACCAGAAACCCTTAAACCCGAAACCCTAAACCCTGAACCAGGCCTTCAACCATGCAAATCAGCCAGGAAGCTGATAAGCGTGACTTTGAGCTTCACCGGCTCGGTCGCGTAGTCTTTGCGCTTTTGTGTAACTCCTCAGAGGCGACCCCACATCGGCCCGGAGAGCCCAATATACCCCTGAATTAAGGAACAGGTTTAGGGTTTAGGGTTTAGGGTTTAGGGTTTAGGGTTTAGGGTTTAGGGTTTAGGGATCATGTTAAGGCTCGCTAGTATATCCCTTAATTAAGGGGTCTTGGGCTCTTTGGGTGTGTCGAACTGCTGGTGACCCTCCCTTTGGGTGCAGCACATCACGCATCAAGATGGCTCCCCCCTGGATGCCCCCAAATCCTACAGATCAAGGGAGTCATACTCGGACCCCCAAATCCGTCTACCCCTAATACGGCTCTTTTATTCCTTTCCAAAAGGTCCCCAAACCCAAGGGTACAACCTTGGGGGCCCCCATGAACATACCTAAACCGAAGCCCCAGAACACCCTCTTTGTGGTCCCCACGACGTTTCGTCTATTCCGAAACCGGAAGCTCCAAGGACGTATGCCCTGACAGCACTCAACCCTACTAAATCCTAAACCCCCTAAACCCGTTTTGAGAAACCCTAAACCCTAAACCCTAAACCCTAAACCCTAAACCCTAAACCCTAAACCCTAAACCCTAAACCCTAAACCCTAAACCCTAAACCCAACTTTCGACCCAAGGCTCCGGTCAGGACCTCCTGAAGCTGTCGCAGGAAGAGGGGCTCCCCGTCGTGAAACACCTCTTTCAGACTGAGGGTTTCTGGTTTGGGGTTTAGGGTTTGGGGTGTTATAGGGCTTAGGGTTTAGGGCTTAGGAATTACGGCTTAGGGTTCGGGATTTATAGTTCGGCAGGCGTTTCAGCTTAAGGCTTCCCTACTGTTTAGTGCTTAGGGTTTAGGGGGCGTATACCCTACACTATTGCAATTCCTTTCAAAGTATAGAAACGATAAACCTACTTAGGGTTCAGTTGGCCCCAAGGAAGCCACGAGCACATGCTTTGCCCCCTTCCCGGCTTGTGATTCAGCTCCGTAGGGTTTAGGGACGCTTGATTCAAAGGGTTCAGTTCAGGGTTGTATAGGTTTTAGGGTTTGCCTTCTGCGAAGCTTGATGCACAAGGGTTCTTCAGTTCAGGGTTCATAGGGTTTAGGGTTTACGTTTGAGAGGTTAGAGAGAGTCAGAAAGAGGGTTGCTCCTTGGGGGTGCAGCTCATAGGTCTTTCACAAAAGGAACCTTGCCGAAAAGATAAATCTTGCTTGGGCGGGGGGGGGGGGGGGGCAGGATTCCTGTACATCTTCACGGGGAACGGAACTTGCGAAGCTCTACTCTTTCCAGATCCTCCAAGGGGTGTGGGCGAACCCTAAACCAAACCCTAAGCCCTAAAGCTCTAAACCCCCTAAACCCTAAACCCTAAACCCTAAACCCTGCGAAGCTGCGGGGACTAAACTATGGGCCCTTTGGGAACCCCATCTCGGCGCCAGGTATTCGACGACATGTTCGAGCCTTCTCGAAGTCAGAGATGCCAATTCCCCCTTCTCCGCTGAGATTGACCTTGCATGAAGGGGCGCGTGCTCCTCTGAAGCTATCTAGACAACTAAAACCCTCTCTCTCTCACAGGCACTCGACAACTAAAACCCTCAACCCTAAAACCCAAAAAAACGGGTTGCAGGCCTCATGTAAGCAAGGATGTCTGTCTTGCGGGGGGTTGCGACTCCTATACAGTAGCTTTAGGTCGTTGAGGCCGTCCTGAGCACTTTCGTGGTGGTTAAGAAGCCGTTTCTGTCTACGGGTATAGTTACATGGTCCCTTTGTATGGGCCCTTGAAAGGGAACCCCTTGCATACCCCCTATATACCCTGTACAACCCACAGACCCATAATTCAGAACCCTTTAAAGGAGGTTTGGGACCCTATTGAGGGCCCATACAACTACCCTTAGATTCCCCTAAACCCTAAACCCTAAACCCTAAACCCTAAACCCTACTGCAATGATCCTGGAGACCTGTGGCTTGAGACAAGGCGTACCCAGGATCCATGTACCTTTCTAGTATATACTTGGGCCCTAAAAGCCACTGTATAGGAACCCCTTGAAGGCCCAAGTATGTACCATAGAGGTACATGGATCCTCAGGGTTTAGGCTTCAGGGGTTACGGTCTCTTGCTTCACCACCGCTTAGAAGCTCAAGTTCTCCCGTCCGAGTTTCCCAAAGAGCCCCAATACCCCTTAAGTAAGCTATATGCCTTAAATCATATTAAGGGCACCTTTATCATGCAAGGGCATAAATATTAGGGATAGGATTAGGGGGACCCTTGGGGATCTAGACCTCAGGTCCCTGTTTAAGAGAGCCAGAAGAGGGTTAAGAAGGGTCCCCTTTTGACGGGCCCCCCTTATCCTACCTAGGAATTATTCCTTACTTACGGGGGTGTTGGGCTCTCTGGGCTTGTACTGCTGCCCAGGCTGCCCGCACATGCAAGATGGAATTGGTCTTCCTCTGCATGTTCTCTTCGTAGAGGATCAGATCGCCTCGGTTTTCCTAAACCTTAAACCCCAAACCCTAAAACCCCAAGAACCTAAAACCCAAACCCCCAAAACCCTAAAACTCTAAAACCCTAAAACGTAAACCCCCAAAACCCTAAAACCCCTAAACCCTAAAACCCCAAAATCTTCAGCAGCATCCACCACCACACTGGGGAGGCTCTGGGTTGGTAGAGCCAGGTTGGGGGTTTAGGGTTTAGGGTTTAGGGTTTAGGGGTTAGGGGTTAGGGTTTAGGGTTTAGGGTTGAGGGCTCTGCATGCACAGCTCCGCCCGAGACAAACATGTGGTCCGGAATATGGGAGCAAAACCCTAAACCCCAAACCCTGAACCCTAAGCCCTAAGGGTCCATGTACGATAATTTGTTGATATACCTTGCGCCCCCAAAAGTCCCTGCATAGGAGGTGCTTGAAGGCCCAAGTCTTCCCTATTTAGGCACCATGGACCCCCTAGTAGCCCAGCAACCATATTACAATAAGGGCACCTTTTTTTGTTGGTTACTTTACAAGGGAACCCAGAACCCCAAAAAAGGGCAGCAAAGGGTAACACTGGTCTACCAAGACCCTTAGGTTTCAGAGTACGAGTCCAGAGTTCAGGATATCATCGAGGCCCGGTTGATCCGGAAAGCAAATGAACAGGAAGCATTTCCTAGACCCAGGAGTAGCCTAGGAATAAAAGGGGCACCCTTTTTGGTTTTAAGAAATTGCAAGGAGACCCCCGCCCAAGAAAAGAGGAAAACAGGGCCTACCCCGGGTCCGAGTTTCTACGCGCCAAGCGCTTGGCTGCTTTTGACCCTCACGCTTGCGGATGCGGGCGAGGCTTCCGCGGCGCCGTTCTCGCGATAGCATCCCAAAAAATCCCAAAAAGCCCAATACCCCTTAATTAAGGAATATTCCTGAAATTATAAAAAGCCCAATACCCCTTAATTAAGGAATATTCCTTAAATTAGAAAAAGCCCAATACCCCTTAATTAAGGAATATTCCTTAAATTATAAAAAGCCCAATACCCCTTAATTAAGGAATATTCCTTAAATCATATTCAGGATCCCTTTATAATTTAAGGCATACTCCTGAACTAAGGAGTCTTGGGCTCTCTGGGATCAAGCAGGGGCGCATCCTTCAGGACTTTCCAGAGCACGGGGTGCCCGACGGGTGCAGTAGCCCTAAACCCTCAATATGATTTAAGGAACAATTCCTTAATTAAGGGGTTTTGGGCTTTTTGGGTTAGAGCCCAGGTATATACTATGTGGGCACGTGGACCCTTAGGGTGAGGCCAAGTGGCCCTCGAAGCCCTTCTCCTGAAAGCGATGGCTCGGCAGCGTGGCGATGCCCAAAATGTCATCTTCCTGCCGTGCCGGGTCTAAGGGCCCAAAGGGTGCATGTACCCAGAGAGCCCAATACCCCTTCATTGAGGAATATACCTTCAATCATAAAGGGATTCTTAATATGATTTAAGGAATATTCCTTCTTTCAGGGGGTATTGGGCTCTTTGGGTACGTATTTAGTATATAGGGTGTACTTTGGCCTTGACGGGAAGCCTATAATAGAGGCTTTAGGGCCCAAGTATACTGATATTTCCCCAAATCCGCCGAATCTCTCGCCACAGTGCAGTTTATCAGCTTAAGGCCTTGGGATGCTCCCCCTTATACAAGCAGTCCTTAGTAGGGTTTAGGGTTTAGGGTTGTAATACCCCTGACTATCATCCCGATTACGGACTGCTGGTATATGCGGGGAACATCCCAATTCACGCCCGCCATAGTTTTAGGGTTTAGGGCAGGCTCCTGTGGATGGACATGAACAAGCACAGCACACACGTACAGGTCGCCATGCAGAAGCATTTTAGGCACAAGATCATGCTGGCCTGAAAAAAGGGATGAGATGCAGCAGCTCACCAACAAACAACTTCTTTGGCAACCCCTTACATAACCCTCCCCAAAATCAGGGCAACTCTTTTTTTCAACTGGACTGCGGACAACTGAACCCTAAACCCTTTGTTTGCAGCAGGGACCCTAAACCTTATAAACCCTGAACCCTAAACCCTCAACCCTGAACCCTGAATTTAGTCGCCGGCGGGCCTTGGTACCGAAGTCCTTATCACGAACCGTGAAGCGCAAGGTCTCACCGATCGCAAAATCGGCGATCCTCAGCCAAGTTCCCAGTACCCAAAGAGCCCTCAATACCCCCCTTCAATAAGGAATGAACGGGTTTAGGTTTAGGGTCTCGGGCTTAGGGTTTATGAGTTTAGGGTTTAGGGGAAGAGACCTTAAGTTATGTAGGGATCCTTAAGACGATTTAAGGTATTTTCCGTGTTTAGAGGTATTGGGCTCTTTGGGTATGTTTGGAAGGCTGAAGGATGAAGATCTATATGGCTTAGGCTTAAGTTTAAGCGTCTTCAGTAATCTTCAGCAATCAGATCTCACGGGTCCGGGCTCCGATTTCAAGTTGAGGCCGAACCCTTCACGTTGTGAATCGACAGGCAAAAGGCAGGGGCGGCTCTACAAAAGGATGGCGCTGGGACACCATTTCCTATACTCCCCACCGCCTTAATTAAAATATGTTTTTAAATGTCCTCTTGGGTTTTATATAAACAAAATACATAATTCTCAAGGGGGATATAGTTTTCGGGGTGCCCCCGAACGCCAAGGGACTAACGGAGGGACCCTTATAAGGGACCTTATAGGGGTTATTTGGAGATTATTTAGGTGCGGTTTGTAGGTACGACAGAAGGTATATACAAGGGATACCAAGGGGAATAAGATTTAGGGTCCCTTCTAGGGGTCCCTCCTGATCCGCCTCAATATCGTGCGAGGCTCCGTGTCATAAAAAGGAACCTGAAGCAGGACCAAGCGGCACCATGTTTTAGAACTCCAGAAAGAAACTGAATGCCAACTCCTCCCCGCACCGTCTTCGGCAATCTTCAGTCATCAGATCTCCCAGTAGACCCTACTTTGGAGTAGACCCTTAAAAAAAGTATATCATTTCCTTTCGCTATAAGTAGCTATAATAGGACCAAAAAAAGTATTTAAGCAGAGTACTCCAAAAGCCAGTTTAGGGATTGTAGGGTTTAGGGTTTAGGGTTTAGGGTTTAGGGCTAGGCCCCATAAACTTGCAACCCCAAACTCCCTGTTAATCGGTGCCATGAGGTTAAGGGTTTAGGGTTTAGGGTTTGGGCTTTAGGGTTTAAGGTTGGAAGCCCTGTTGACTTCGTAAGTAGGGTTGGTAAGGTGGGTTCCGTAGGCAGAGTCTGCCCGATTTCACATATTAGGACAAGGGTAGTTCTTGCCTAAACCCTACTTGGAGGTTCATGAGTACTTCTAACCACAGTTATAAGTCTACTTATAACCTACTTCGGGGACTTAGGGGGCTTTAAGTACAGCTACAATTCGGGTTCTAAGTACCCTGAACCTCCAAGTAACTTCGCGCCGTGAGGATTGTTTCTCTTTGATGCAGGGGAGCTCTCGAAGGGATCGAGAGAGGGTGGCCGACTTTAAGATTAGGGTTTAGGGTTTAGGGTTTAGGGATCAGGGTAGTTACATGGTTCCTTAGTATGAGTTACCCAGTATACACCCCCTATATACCTTAGACAAATTAAGGGCCCCTACATCGGAACCCTTGAACGGAGGTTCGGGACCATGTTCAGGGCCCCTGCAACTACCTCTGGATTTAAGATCAGGCCGGGAGGCTCACGCTCCTCTCTCCAGTCCGGGTCCAGGCTCTCAGTCAACGCCTACCCAGGGTTTAGGGTTCAGGGTTTAGAGTTAAGGGTTTATAGGGTTAAGGATTTACCAGGGTTAGCTATGTGCTTAAGAACCACCAAAACATGAAAGATAATAATCCCGCTACTCCGCTACTCCCCCTTTGAGGAAGAATATGCGTTGTTTTGGGGTGTGCTATAGCAAATAGGTACGGGTCCAGGTAACCCCACGAAAACTTGGAACAAAACAGGTGGCGTGAGGGTTTAGGGCTTTAAAGGCGGCAACAAACACACAAGGAAGACGTGGGTTTTACGAAAACAGGCGACCCCCCCCCCCCCCCCCCGCCCCCAAATAGTTAGGAGGATCCCCTTGGAAATAGGACTCCAATACACGTACCCCTAAACCTCAAACCCTAAACCCTAAACCCTAAACCCTAAACCCCAAACCGCCACACATCCATGTGGGTGCAACTGGGAATTACGGACTCCGGGGTTGCCTTGCTCTACCTCCAAGGTTCGCCTGCCAAGCAGGCAGGGAAAGAACATGAAGAAGAGGGGTTTAGGGTTTAGGGTTTAGGGTTAGGGGTTTAGGGCTTAGGGCTTAGGGTTTAGGGCTTACATACGGCCCGAAACCCAACAATGTTAGAAGCCATCGCGCCTTGGTCTGCCACCGCGTTCTTGGCTTGCCTGCAGCAGCAGATTCGTGCTTCGGCACGAATCTCTACACTTGGCTGCACTTAGCGGGTAGCTATGAATTTAATTTTTAGCTGCCTTATTGAGAAACCCAATAAACCCAAAAAGGCTAAGGATAAGGATCTAAAGTTACAGTAAAGCACCACAGAGTACATGGGGGGGTGTCCGAAATATACAAGTAGAGGTACCTTACTATGGTCCGCATTATAAGGGAAGCCTGCCATATGAGGGTTTGTGTAAGGGGGCCCCCTTTTTCGTAAGCCCCTACATCCTAGCTAGCCATCCCAGTCCTAAGATTCAAGCCCCCAGAGACCTAAACCCTAAACTCTAAACCATAAACCCTAAACCCTAAACCCTAAACCCCAACCCTAAACCCTAAACCCTAAACCCTAAACCCTAAACCTCAAACCCTAAACCCTAAACCCTACACCCGCACGCGGGGACCCTTTGAGGAGCTCCCAGGCCTTCGACCTCCACTTGGCAGTAGGGATCTGACTTCCCAAGGTGCTGCTCCACGGCTTTCAGGTTCTTGGCCTCATGGGGTTTAGGGTTTAGGGTTTAGGGTTTAGGGTTTAGGGGTTAGGGTTTAGGGTTTAGGGTTTAGGGTTTAGGGTTTAGGGTTTAGGGTTTAGGGTTTTGGGGAGGCTCATGGCCGGGGTAGGGACCTATAGGGACCCGTAGGAAAACTTAGGGAGCCAGGGCTTTCAGGTTCTTGGGGGTTTAAGGGGCTAGAGGTTTAGGGCTTAGGGTTTAGGGGTTTTGGGTTCTAGGGTTTGGCCTCCGTGAACGGGGGTTTTAGGGGTTTAGGGGTGTAGGGTTTTAGGGGTTTAGGGCTGCAGGGTTTGGCCTCAGTAAACAGGGCTTTAAGGTTTTAGCCATCTACACGGTTTAGGGTTTAGCGTTTAGGATCTAGGGGTTTAGGGTTTTGGGTTCTAGGCGTTCGGGGTTGTGGGGTTGGCCTCTTTCTGAAGGTTTAGGGACACTTTTGACCCCGAACCCCAAAAAGCCCCGGGTTTAGGGTTTGGGGGTGCTAAGGGGTTGGGGTTTGTAGGGTTTATAGGTTGATAGGGTGTATCGGGTTGTTAGGGTTATTAGGATTTACAGGGTGTAGAGGGTTTTATGGGGTTTGTCGGGTTTTATGGAGTTTGTAGGGTGTATGGGGTTTATAGGGTTTACAGGTTTACAAGGTTTTTGGGGTTCGGGGGCCCCTAAGCCCTAAATGTTACCCTAAACCCTATACCCTAAACCCTAAACCCCAAACCCTAAACCCTAAACCCTAAACCCCTAAGCCCTAAACACAGGGTGGTTACGAGCTTGTAGGCCTCGAGGTTGGCGAGAGAAACCTCCCAGCTCTTAGCTGGGCATGAGGAAGCTATAGGTACCCTCCTATCCCCCTCTATATACCCTTTAAAAGGGTTTCTATAAGCCCAGCGTGCCCAACACCCCCTTAAATCAGGACTATATATCTGAAATCATGTTATAAGCCCTATATTGATTCAAGCCATAATTCCTCAAACAAGGGAATCTTGGGATTCCAGAAGGTTCCCCAAAGGATCCATGTACCTATATAGTCTCTACTTGGGCCTTAAAGGGATTCCTACACAGTAGCTTTAGGGCCCAAGTATATACTATACAGATCCCTAAACCCTAAACCCTAAACTCTAAACCCTAAACAAAAAATACTAGACAGGTACATGGATCCTTTGGGTTCCTAACGGGTGCTTGGGAAGCTACGGAGGCCACGTAGATCTTGACCCGCCGCGTGACGCAGTCGGTTGACAAGGCCTGCAGTCGTCAAAAAACATGTAGGGGTTTAGGGTTTAGGGTTTAGGGTTTAGGGTTTAGGGTTTAGGGTTTGGTCCTTCAGGGGGGGTGGGGGGCTTAGGGTTCAGAGCTAGGGAAACCTAGACCCTAAGTGCCCCGGGCCTGACCCTCTATGCATGCAGATCACCAGAAAGGTCAAGCATAGCCATACGGTTTAGGGTTTAGGGTTTAGGGTTTCGGGTTTAGGGTTTAGGGTGCGTACGTATCCGGCACACCCTGGAACAAGCCAAGGCCGTTCACGGTTGCAAGAACTCACGATAGAATACCCTTCTGAACTTAAAGAGATCTTAAGGGAGGGGGGGGGGGGGGTTGGGGGGGAAACCCTAAACCCAAAACCCTAAACCCAAAACCCTAAACCCTAAACCCTAAGAATGTAACCCAAGGTTCCGAAATACTCCCTAAGCTTCCCAAAGGTTTTTTAGGTACCTTTCTACATGAACCCCTCCTCCCTTAAGCACCCCCAGAATGAACCTGGAAACTGCTTCATGCCCTGGACCCTAGGCCCTTGTATTATATATATATATATACATATATATATATATGTATATATATATATATATATGTATATATATATATATACATGCATATGTGTATATATATATTTATATATATATACATATATACTTGCTGGGTCTCAGCGGCTTGCAAGAAACTAAGTTTTTAGTTTTTTTGCACTACATATATGAGTAAGTTATTAAATATATATCAATGCAAGAATGGATTGCCTGGAGTGGCCTGGCACGCCTTTTTGTTCCTCAGTCACGCATTCCGATCTTGAACTCCACCCGCTCGAAATGGTCCTGGCCAATCCAAGAAGCTGGCACAGTCAGGGTTAGCTGCAGCACGACGCAAAACTCAATCAGGCTCATCCTTCTTTCTGCTTTGCACAGACCCGGACTCGGACTCGGTCACCCCTGGTCGTAAAGAACCCCAAGCTTCATGAGGAGCTTGTCCAGATTCCAGGACTTGCCGCTCTCAGCAGAATCGCTGTCCGAGCTCAGGCTCGGGCTCGGACACAAATTAAAAGTCAATTTCGGATGCCGAGGTTTCTCAGGCATCCCTCCCTTGTAAACTCGAAGCTTACAGCCATTCAAGGCCCCATGCGCGAACAACACATCCGAGTGTGCCGGATATTTGTTGGCAAAACCCTCGGTCAGATACAAGTGAAAGTGCAGGTCCAAGGCTCGTTGGAAGGCGTAACAATTGCCCTTCTGCATTGCGGTCTGAATGAAATCTCGGTCGCAAACTCGGACTCCTCTCAGTCTGGCTTCCAGTGCCTCCGGCAAGTAAAGCCCTTCGGATATGTTGGCGACCATTAAAACGTCGGCCGACGCAAAGTCCATGGTCAAGCGGAAGCGGGCACTCACATTCTCGGGCCAGTGGGCACCGTGCGCCATCTTGACGCAGACAGTGTTGCCAAGCTTGGGGGCTTTGGCCCGGGCAGCACTCGGAGCATTGGCGGCCATGGGGCCAACCACGGACCCTGTTGCATGGACATATGCAGGTACACAGCCTGCCTTCGTTTCAAAATCAACCTTTTTTCGCTTCTTGACGAGCTCGATCTGCGAAGCCACTGCGGCATTGATGACCTCATCTTCCATCGTATCATCCTTGTCCGCCACGGACTCTGGCGTCACCACCTCCTGGTTCTGCTCGGGCGCCTTTCTTTTGCTGGACGAGGACGCAGAGCTGGAGGCAGGTTGTTCCACGCCTCCGGCTAGAGTCAGGATTATTCATGGCCATAGGTCAGAAACAAAAGCAACATCATAGCTCGGAAAACTATAAATAAACCTTGCGGCTGAAATGCCCACTCTGAATTCGGCGGCTTCCGCAACCATCTCGGACATCGTGTCTTGGGACCCTTTTGCGCCCGTTCGCACAGCACTGTCGAGTGACTCCTTGCGTTGCCTCATCTGGGCTGCTATGGATTTGCTCGAGCTCGCCCGCAATGGTGCCAACCTCGGTTTGTCATTGCGCTCTTGCACGGACAGGAGGTCTCGGGCAGGTAACTGCTTCTCGCCGTAAAACTCAGCGTAAGCCTTTTGGGCTCGCAGGCCAAAGTAGCTTGCCTGCCAACGCACCTGCCGATCTCGACTCTCGGTCGCGGACGTAGTCAGGGACTCGGGCTGGAAGACACTGGCTCGGCCACTCATGTTCTGAACGTTGAGTTTGACACTATCCTCGAGCCGGAAAATGTTGAGGTGATGAGCCCTGCTTTTCTGCTCGGTCAAGCTGATCTCGTGCAACCACCGCTCCACATTGCAGGTGGACGTCATGAACACGAGCGAATGCTTGATGAGCTTCACGGCCTCGTACCTGTTTCGGATCTGGCTCTTTCTCAGCTCGGACAGGGTCTTCACCCAGGCCTGCTTGGATGGCTGCTGGCTGGGATTCTTCGCGTGCCACAAGGCTCGAGCAAAGAGACCATGGCCAGGTCCGTGATCCTCGGGCGCCTGTCCCCAGAACTGCTTCCTGAGTGAACAGGCGGCTGGGACTTTAACACACATAACTCAGTCTCTGCCACTGGCTCTGAACTACAAATCCAAATTATTAAAAAAATCAGCTACCAAGGTGCCAGAGCATCTTGCCGTCTAAATTCCACTGCTTTGCGACTCGGCCGATCATCGTTTCTCGCTGCCTCATACTCAGGTCCGCATGCACGTCCAGTGCAGAAAGAGAATTCACATACTCCCACAAGGGAAAGTTCGCTCGGAAGTAGGCGTCCACAAGCTTGTAGACTCTGCGCAGATCTTTGCGGATCTCTGCCTCGGATGTTGTTTGCCAGACACTGAGCACGTGCTCGGGCCTTGCACTCCTGGAGCCACGGGGGCGTCGGCCAAGCACTCGGACGGCACCCAGTTTCTTCAAGGTGTTCATGGCCTCCACTGTCACGGACTTGTCTGCAGTCAGAAGGTTCCCCTCCTTGAACAGGTGCCTCATCTGGTGCATGATCTCGGACGCCTTGCGATGGGACGTGCACGAGCACAAACTTTACTGCTACTCGGACTCGTGCAACCATTTTCGGACGCTCGGCCTGAGTTCCGCACAGGCATGCGTCGTCCTCGGACACGTCACATAGACGAAGAAACCGGTGACAAACCAACATCGCGTCGCACACGACGGCTGAACGCACCACTGCCTTGGTGGCACCATCACCTGTCATCCGGCCTAACACGTTCTCTGCCCATGTCACATCCTCGGGATCACCCTCTTCACAGCATCGGGCCAAAAACTCGTACAGCGAGGGCAATGCCTTCAGAATCTTGAACAAGGGCAAAGACGCGGACTCGAACCGTTGCATGGCAAACGAGAAACTCCTCAACGTGCGACAAAACTCGGTCTCGGACTCGGGCGGCTGGCTCGCCTCGAACCACAAACCCAGTTTCCGGGATTTCTCCAGGACTCGGGCGACGGAGTGCTCCCCTGTCACCAATATGTCCAACAAGCCGCACATCTCGGTCAAGCTCGTCCACGTGCTGCGCTGACACGCTCGCATCCTGTGAGCTCGGTCTCGGACGATGAACTTCAACTTGGGTAACTCCGTGGCTGCCAGTGTCTGCAATGCCTGCTGCTCGGACAACCCACCGTCCGCCACGGCCACAGTAAGAATGTCCTGGCTCTCTCGGGCTTTCTCTCGGGCTTTCTCTCGGGCTTTCGCATCTCGGGCATCTAACCCTAAAGCCACTAAACCCTCATTCCTGAATCACTCTGCATCGTTGCACCTCGGGCCGGTCCTTGAGTCTCTGGAAGAGTCTCTCGTCCAAAGCGTCCTCGGGCCCAACGACTCCTCCTTGATCCCTTCGGCCAAGCCGTCTCGTGCAAAAAGACTTCAACGTGGCCATGACGGCTCGTGCAACATTTTCCTCAGCTGTCTTTCGTGCAGACGCCCTGACAAAGGACCAGTGTTGCACAAACGTTCTCCGTGCCGACACGTCTCTGGACCTGGCCCATAGTCTCGGGCAATGCCAATCAAGCAGTCATAGGTGCCGCTGGCCGGCAGCCACTTATTGTGCTTCAGACCTTCACAAATGTTTTTTTTTGCTCGCTCTCTGTCTCTCTCTCTCTCTCTCTCTCGGTCTCTATCTCTCTCTCTCTCTCTCTCCCTCTCTCAGAGAGCCTCTCTCCCTCTCTCCCTCTCTCCCTCTCTCTCCCTCTCTCTCTCTCTCTCTCTCTCTCTCTCTCTCTGCCTTGCCATCCCGAGGGCTCTACATGTTGCCCGTGCCCGCCCCGCCTGAGTAATAGAACCGTCCGGCTACCAACACGCAGGAATCTCGTTCATCGAGAGCAATGCCACAATGTTCTGCCTCTGCAGAAGAAGCAGACTCGGCACGCACCGCACTTTTCGCTCCGTCCCCAACAACACATTTGATTCCCCGTCCTTCTCCAAGACACACATATCCTGGCCCTCCAGCACTCGGGCCATTGCTGTCACCATCTGCTTGCAAACTCGCTCTGACAAATCCTTCTCACCGCTGTTTTCAGCGTATGCTCGAAAGTCCTTGGCAAGCACATCAAGTCTGATCTGCAATGCCCACCGACTGCTGTTCTCTGCAGCTGAGATTCTCTAAACGTGTCTCGTCGGGCAACGACCACTCCAGCGAGACGAAATCGGTCTATCCGAGGAACAGAATCATTGATCCCCGTCGCCACAGCCAGTATACCAGAGCCACCCTCGGCCTCCCCTTGCCGCGCCGCCTGTTTCGCAGGCAAACTGGCGAGGGCTCGGACATGGCCAGCTGATTTCTCGTGTGCTCTGAAAGCGTGGGGTCCCATCATGTGCACGGACGACGCGGATAACCGAGCGAAGGAACAAGACCTTGTTTGCAAAGCTCCATTCAAATTTCAGACGCAACAACAGATATCTCACTCTGAAACTCGTCTCATCAGTCACAGCCAAGGGACCCTGGCACCTTGAAGCTGTTGCACAGCCAGCATCCAATGGCCCACTCGCCCCAGGTCTC